GTTCGAGTTAAGGCTCCACTTTGGGACCCTAAACTCTCAGACTCACTATGAGTCTGCAAATTGAACCTGTATCTTTTTACTTATGATTCTGAACTTCTCTTCGATTAAACTCTCTTCTAAATAATTTGACAGCCTCTTCTTGATTCACATATTTGTGTGCTTATATATGATAACTCTTCTTTCAAAAGGTTTGGCCAACTACTAATTGATTCTGAATTACTTCAATGGTGTTTACTTGATTGTTACTGATTTTCCCTAATTGAACCTTTCTTTACCCTTTTTCTGACTTGGTTCATTCGAACAAAGCTTGCAGCTTTGATTTTACTGGTTGTTTGATTGAATCCCTTTCCTTATTTTTCACAAACCATGTACCATTGGACTTTTGCCTTAAATAAACCGTGTGTATTTACCCTTATTATGTTACTTTGGAAAAGGTTTTAATCAAATTCTTTCCTTAATTGTCTTATGCCCGTTCGAAATCAGAATCCCTTAACCAAAAGGAGACTTTATGTGATTGATTGCAAACTATTTCCTTACCTTTTCTTACTTAGTTTCTGCACTATAAAAGGGGACTACCCTTCTGCACTTGAACACACTTTGAATTGCATACTATTACACACACACTCTCAATTACAATACTCTTTCAATTCTCTACTCTCTTTTGAGATCTTTTGTACTGCTTGCTTGCAATTTGGCTTACAAGACTTCTGCTTTCACTTATTTGTTTCCCTGAAACTGGTATGTCCTAATTTTGATTCCAGCATCATCCCTATGTGTTTACTTTACAGTTGCTACACTCTTGGCTACTTTCCTGTTCATGTTCTGTATTGAATATGCTACACTCTCTTTGCATCTGTTGTTTGTTGTGAATTCTCCATACCCCTACTCCCTTCTATGTGTTTGAGTTAAGGTTTATGGCCCGGCAGTATCCAAGTTGTTGCTCAGGTCTGAACCTGATCCTCAATGGATCTTAACTCCCAAAATATGGCCTAGTAGACTGGTTAGGGTGTGCCAACACTCCTTATTGTTAGGTATGACCACCAGTTTATGCTGGACTTCCCCTAATTCCCCTCTATTCCACTTGCACTTACTCCTAGCCTCTAAGTTCTGC